GGTCTGCTTCCATTAGGCACAACTTCAACATTACACTGTGATACTGGGATTTTTAGAGAACTTCTTCAATATCAATCAAAAAATATCAATAAAACACCAATAAACAATTATTTGTCAATGAAAACAACATAGTCGTGTTTATAACATGCCCAATGGAGTAATTACTATTACAGTTATTATCATTATGGGATGCAAGACTTTTTCATGACAGGTGTCTCAACACTTTTTATAATCAATAGTCCATTTTTCATGTTCACATTATAATGTTACTGGAAACATAACATGTCCATCCTTTTTTATAATAGAGAATCGTTGTCCAATTTATTATTTAATTTTTTTAATAATAATTGTATTAATTCATTTGATAAAATATTATAAATTGTATTTTGAATAATTATTTTTAAATGAATAATTGTATTTTTATTTTATGAATTAATTTGCAAGATTTGTAAATTAAATATGCATTAATTTAAGCCTCTGCAAGATTTCACAATGCTTAAACTAAAAAAGTTATATGGAAACTATATTTAAACCATATTAGTATTTGTAGTTTGCTATAAAAAAACATAACAATGTCTATGCTGCATTTCACATATAAATATGTATCAGAAAGCTATTACATACTAACACAGAAGCACACGGTGTTCCCAGCAGCCTACTTAATTATATATGTACAGTAATAAAATTAGCCATTAGCCATTAATTCATCTCAAAAAGCTTTTGTCTTTTGTAACTGATTAATTATTAATGATATGCAAAAACAACTGTATTTGGGATAAATTATACAATGCCAGTGATGCTGATGTTGATATAGATAACATCCATTCAAAGGACAGAATAGAAAATAATAGAAAAAGAGAATGTAAGAAAATGTTTGAATAAATTAGAATCTTGGTTTAGAAAACAAAACGAATAGAACGGAAAAGGAAGGCAGCAGCCTACTTAATTATATATGTACAGTAATAAAATTAGCCATTAGCCATTAATTCATCTCAAAAAGCTTTTGTCTTTTGTAACTGATTAATTATTAATGATATGCAAATACAACTGTATTTGGGATAAATTATACAATGCCAGTGATGCTGATGTTGATATAGATAACATCCATTCAAAGGACAGAATAGAAAGAATTTTTCTAAACCAAGAATCTTGGTTTAGAAAACAAAACGAATAGAACGGAAAAGGAAGGAGAGTGGGACTCACCCGCAGCGAAGTGCAGCGGGGTGGATTTCCTCCCTGCGGTGTCCCTGCTGTTCACATTCACCGGGCACACGAGCTTCTTCACCCGCTCCAGGTCTCCGCTCCTGCAGGCCTCGAACAGCTCCCTGGGCTCGGCGGACCCGGAGCTCTCCATGACCCCCGAGAAGCGCCGGACCGACATGGACAAGCTATAGGCGGACAGTGGGAAATGCGGAATGCACACTATCCCAAAGGCTTGACATGAAGGCCGAAATAAGGAGCAGATCTCCACAGTTAAAGCCTTTCACTAAGAGCCATTGAAGAGAAGAAATGATTCGGCTCGAGTGTCTTTGGCTGTTCCTATACAGAGCTGTCAGTCCAGCTGTGTCTCAAAACCACAGAAATGAAGAATGAATCGGCTAGATGATCGATTTCGCATGAACGAGAAGTGCAGCGGGGTGGATTTCCTCCCTGCGGTGTCCCTGCTGTTCACATTCACCGGGCACACGAGCTTCTTCACCCGCTCCAGGTCTCCGCTCCTGCAGGCCTCGAACAGCTCCCTGGGCTCGGCGGACCCGGAGCTCTCCATGACCCCCGAGAAGCGCCGGACCGACATGGACAAGCTATAGGCGGACAGTGGGAAATGCGGAATGCACACTATCCCAAAGGCTTGACATGAAGGCCGAAATAAGGAGCAGATCTCCACAGTTAAAGCCTTTCACTAAGAGCCATTGAAGAGAAGAAATGATTCGGCTCGAGTGTCTTTGGCTGTTCCTATACAGAGCTGTCAGTCCAGCTGTGTCTCAAAACCACAGAAATGAAAACAACGGCTAGATGATCGATTTCGCATGAACGAAGTTCCGGAATGGGCGGGGCTATGACAGCCCCACTTTTTTTTTTCGAATTATTTTTAAACATAAGGATTTTCAAGTTTTAATTAAAGAATTATAAGCCATAAAATGTATAATATATGTATGTGTGTAAGGTTGTACATACACATATATGTAGTTGTTTTTTTGGTGTTTGGCTTAGTGTTATGTTTTATACCTTTTGTTCTTTAATGTTTTGAATTGTTTTTATCTTTATTTTTTGTTTTTCATTTTAATTTTAAGTAAAAAAAAATTTTTGTATGCATTTGTCATTTTCATTTAATTTCTTTATTTTTTAAAATGTGTATAAGTAGTATTTATAAAGTTGTAGCTTTTAGTTTTGGATCTGTTTTTGGTTGTTTTAATACTGCAATCGATTGCTTCTGTTGTCCTCGTTTGAAAAGTCGCTTTGGAAAAAAGCGTCTGCTAAATGACTAAATAAAATAATAAAATAAACCAACCAACTACGACGTGAATCACAAACTTATAAACTTTGATTTGAAGCAAAAAAAAAAAAAAAAATCAGGGAAAACGGCTGGTGTAATTTGTTTCCATTCTTTGATTGGTGGAGTTTTTTTGCAGAATCATTGGTAATGTAGTTTTCGCTCATAAACACGATTATTTAAAACTAAATATTGAATAATTGAAATAAAATCAATTACCTTATGGCGAAAACGAATGGAATTTTAACTTTCGAACCTAACTGTTGCACTATATTCTGCTAGTTTAACAGTGTTTCCCTTTCATGGGAACTTCGAACTACGTCCTCTAGGGTTCCCTACTCAGGGAACCATGGTTACATAAGTAACCTGAGACGTTCCCTTTCATGGGAACTTCGAACTGCGTCCTCTAGGTTTCCCCATAGCGACCCCTAGAGGACGCAGTGTCTCGTTCCCTACTCAGGGAACCATGGTTACATAAGTAACCTAAAACGATTTGTGTATATAACGTTTGAACAATGCCAGTTAAAATTTCATTGTGTTATTATTCAGATCTAAAATAAATGTCCATACTGTTGCTGAAGGAAACGGCGTTGTCACATGGTAAGTGTTACTTTTCTCAGCGTTGGTCAAGACTGACCAATGACTGTGTTTGTGATTACAGTCTTTGGCTAAAGCGTTATGTAAAGATTATGTAAACGAATGCCAATTTCTATCAAGTAATTCATACATTTAAACATAGATTTAATCAATTACGCATTTGAGCGCATAAACATATGTAGCAACACAAACAACGTTCAGAGATTTTAATACCACTCATTTGTGTTTTTGGTTGTCTGAGCTGCCATGCGGCCCCTAGAGGAACGAATATCACTATGAAGTGTGAGTATGATTCCCAAAAATAATGTCTAGGAAGGTAGCTCGCTTGGTTGGAGACACAGCATAGGTCTCTAGTTACGCAATAATATAACTATACTATAGATATCAGTGAACTCCTCGTGTGTAGCACAAATATAGAACACGGAAAGCCTATACTAAAATATATGATATACGTTCAAAACGTCCACCATTATTAATGCTATCGACGCAAATTTAACGCCGTACCTGGTCCTGCACTGAACACCGAATTGCAAGTCCGTAACTTTTTTGTGTTCAAAATTAAAAAAATGTCTATAATATGCGAGTACACCATGAATCCATTTTCCAAACCGTGATTTTGGCTCGTCCTGAATCACTACGGTACACCTATAATAAGTGTTTATATACGGACTATTTAGACTAGTTCGGGTAGGTACCGCTGCGGAGTAGCACAGTACCTGCGTGATTCGCCATAGACATAAACAGAGAGAAGTAGCTCCGGCTACAATGTTCTTCCGCAAGACGCTCTGTTCTGTTTATTAACCGCTAGAGCGCCAAAAGTTAAGGACTGCAGCTTTAAATGCTCAACGACAGCTTTGAAAACGAAGTAACAATCCATTAAATATATGTATATTTTGGAATTTTTAACCACACAATAAAGCATTTAAATATGTTCCTTCAATTTATGGGAGTACATCATAAAAAGAATATTACGCAATACGCTTTATACAAAACATTATCGTCTTTATTTAATGTTTCATACCATAAACATTTATAAGAACATTTTCATATTATTTAATAAAAAGCATGAAATAAATCTTATCTCACCAAATGTCATATAGTCTTTTCCATAAAAAATAACATTGAAAATCAACATTCAAAATGGGGGAGGTGGAGGAGGAGGTGGTGGAATAAATTTTCCTCCAGTATTAGGAGGAGGTGGCGGTGGCACCATGGAGGCATTTTGTGGAGGGGGAGGTGGGGGTGGAGGTAGTGATGACCCACTGTAAGAGCCAGGAGGAGGAGGAGGTGGAGGAGGAGGAGCATCTGTTTTGCCCTGAATGGGAGGTGGAGGAGGTGGAACAGTGACATTGCCTGGAGGAGGTGGAGGAGGAGGTGGACTAGCCATGTTACCAGCAGGAGGTGGAGGAGGAGGTGGGGGTGGAGGGTTTGCTGAAGTTAATAAGGTATTTTGGCCAGGTGGAGGTGGTGGAGGGGGAACCAAAGAACCTCCATACACAGAACTAAGTGGAGGAGGAGAGGGTGGAGGAGGTGGGGGTGGAGCGTCTCCCATCTCATAATCTGGGAGAGGTGGAGGAGGCAGCATGGACAGGTCGGGATAGGCTGGTAGAGACGGGGAACGGTCAGACATGAGTGAAAGAGGCGGTGAGGCTGGAGAGAGGTCAGCTGGAGCAGAGGCGCTAGAACCCACCCAGTCAGGCACTGATGGAGGAGGAACTGCGATTCCCAAAAAAGACCTGAAAGCGCAGCAACAACAAGTGGGTTAAACAAAAACATTTTTAATTAAATCTATCTGAATATAAACAGCAAAAGCCTTTTTATTACAAACCAGTTGAAGGTGCTGGTCTCCTGTGTGCCAAGCTGTACAGACACAGAGTCCTCATTGTCTGTTTTTGGCTCTTCCTTCGGTGTCACAACATAATAAATTCAAATAAATATATGAAATCAGTAGGGGGTTTAGGTCGAAAATATAGTGCAAATCATTTAAATTAGTAAGTTAAGCTCTTATCTTATAAATATGAGTAATCTTATAACTACTGATGAAAAACAGTAAAAAAGGACATTGGCAGCTAGATTTGTTTGAACTTATTTTGCTTGTGATAAATGTATGATTCTTTAAAATGGAATAAGTACATGCAATTCACATGTTATAAAAATACATTTCTTAGTGTGAGATATAAATTATACTTAAAATACTTACATTATATGTATTCATAAATACTTTTTATACCAGTAAATACTATATATTTCATTTAAAATGTTTGGGATAGGTATGTTTTCTGTAATATTTCCTAACAATTTAAAAGAACTCTTTTACAAAACGTACTGATCCCAAATGTTTGAATGGTTGTGTATAATATATAATACAATATTATATAAAATACAGAATGCTATGCATTTTTAGGTCTAATGCAAACATTAGATCACATATTGTTTAATATTATTTATAAAATATACTGTATCTAATTTACTTTTAATTTAACCACTACAAGTGAAAAAAACAGCAGTGTAAATAAAAAGTATTATGTATTTGCAGATATATTTGCTCACAGTTTTGCTGCCTTCCCAGTGGCTGTGGCCCAGTTTGTCCAAGCGGGTGTAGGATATGGGAACCCGTCTGTATGCACGAGACGGCTCCAGGCCACTCGCTGGGGGAACCACCTTCTGAGTCCGGGGAACTTTTGACTGTTTGGTCAGCACGCCGATCTCTTTCCGAGCTAGTTTCTCCTTGTACATGCCAACTGTCTGAATGTGAATAGTGACATTAGGAGTTTATTTTGCCCATTTACAGCTATTTAAAGGAATAGTTCACAAAAAATGAAAATTTGCTAAAATTTTTACAAATGTAGCATTACATCACTTGCTCACCAATGGATTCTCTGCAGTGAATGGGTGCCGTCAGAATGAGAGTCCAAACAGCTGATAAAATCATCACAATAATCCACAAACACTCCGGTCCATCAATTATGCCCCGTTTACACTAGTGCATTTTCGTTTTAAAACGCATAACTTTTGCTACGGTTACGCCTGCAGTTTACACTACTCTGGCGTTTTCGAGGTCGAAAACGGAGACTTTTGAAAACGCTGCAGACCTCGTTTTAACGTTAACGGGTTGCGTTAACGGACCAAAATGGAGACTTTTGAAAACTGCCCACATTCGCTTTGCGTATCTTTGACGACCGTGTAAACAGTAACATCATGCTCATTTTTGTGCCCAAAGACATGATAAATATTGTTGAATATGAAGCATCGTAATTATTTAACTGTAGCAGCGTTCGAGGAGAATAATTTTAGATGGGTGTTATTTGCGCACGCACCAGCAGGTGGCTCACATGAACCAGGAATTATGATGATGCAGCTCGAAATACAGCATTATGTCAAAAAACTCATTTATTTCATTTTAAATCAAAGTGGTCATAAGATGCTATTTTAAAGATCATTATTTTGTGTATTTGGTGTACACCAATGATTCCTAATTGCATCTACTTCCGGAAGGCCAAATAAAGTGCTTTTTCTTTTGCACTGAAACACAGCGTCTCCCTGACATGGCTGCATCAACACTACTGCTGTTCCTGAAACCACGCCTTCTTTCTTTGCGTGAACATTGGGGCGGCATTATGCTAACATTTTCACATAGTGATGTAGATATGTGGGGGCGTGTTAGAATGAGTCATTTTAGGTAGGTGTGGCTGACTCTTAACTTTTATAAAGAAGATCTCTTTGGATTTGAGACTTTAGTCTTTGCAACTTTACAGATCTTCTTTATGCACCAAGAGCTTGTAACACTCTAAAGAGAAAGGAAAAATTGAAATTGCATCATATGACCCATTTAAACAAATGTAATCCTGCTAGTATTCCCACTTTTTACAAAATGTAAATTGAATCCGATTACTTTATTTTATGTAACTGTAACGGATTACAGTTACTAGATAACGTAACCTGATTACGTAACGCTGTTACATGTATTCCGTTACTCCCCAAGCCTATATATATATATATATCTTTAGGACTGTTTTGGTCTGTTTTTGCTTGTAAACAGTGCTTGATCTGTGCACATTTCTCTCCTGATTCAAACAAGACTTTTTCACTGAAGAAAGCAATATTATGGATAGAAGACTCAAGCAAAGGAGCAAAGGTTTGAAGGTAAAAATATCTTATTGATGGATTTGTTTATGACAAACACGCAGCTTTTTGCTTTACAATATGTTAATTGATGGACTGGAGTGGTGTGGATTATTTGTGGATTATTGTGGTGTTTTTATCAGCTGTTTGGACTCTCATTCTGACGGCATCCATTCACTGCAGAGGATCTATTGATGAGCAAGTGATGGAATGCTAAATTTCTCCAAATTTATACTGATGAAGAAACAAACTCATCTTCATCTTGGATGGCATGTTCAGCACATTTTCATTTTTGGGTGATCTATTCTTTTATTCAGAAGCACACATTATTATTTAATATTTCCAGCACTGTCCTGACTTGCCATTAGTAATGACTGGCATTGTATTTCAAAAGATTCTGGTGCTTTCCGTTAAGTGATAAGCGGAGCTCACCAGAGTCAGCAAGTTGACGGAGGACTCAATCTGATTTAGCTGAACCGTCTGAGCATCTAAGATTTTCAGCACAGATGTGGCCAGATTGTTTATCTGGTATGTGACACTGGCCAGGGCCTGCGTGGTGAGAGCTTTGGACTCTTCAATGACACTTCTCGTGTCCTCCACCTAAAGTTAAAAAAAATGATCATTTTCAATATTCAAACTCTTCTATAAAGGTTTTTATGAATAACAACAGACTGAAAGAACTCTGGACTCCACAGTCCTGGCCTGTGAACTTGATCTAATTAAGTTCTAATCATTTTTATACTATTTTACCGATGTCCTTGCTATGTTTCTGGACCTTGATCGTGTTAGGACCCTTGCTGTCTATGGAGGGTCAGAGAGCTCTCGGATTTCAGCAAAAATATCTTAATTTGTGTTTCGAAGATGGATGAAGGTCTTGCGGTGTCTGTCTGTCTGTCTACCTGTGTGTGTCTGTCTGTCTGTCTGTCCACCTGTGTGTGTGTGTGTCTGTCTGTCTGTCTGTCTACCTGTGTCTGTCTGTCTGTCTGTCTGTGTGTGTGTCTGTCTGTCTGTCTACCTGTGTGTGTCTGTCTGTCTGTCTGTCTGTCTGTCTGTCTGTCTGTCTGTCTGTCTGTCTGTCTGTCTGTCTGTCTGTCTGTCTGTCTGTCTGTCTGTCTGTCTGTCTGTCTGTCTGTCTGTCTGTCTGTCTGTCTGTCTGTCTGTCTGTCTGTCTGTCTGTCTGTCTGTCTACCTGTGTCTGTCTGTCTGTCTGTCTGTGTGTGTGTCTGTCTGTCTGTCTACCTGTGTCTGTCTGTCTGTCTGCCTACCTGTGTCTGTCTGTCTAAAGGATTAGTTCTCTCTAAATTAATATTATGTGCAATGTTTTGTTAAATTTACACTGCTTTTTTTGGCCACAAGAGGCCAGAATACAGCTAACAAAGTACGAGTGAAACATTCAATATTTCCCTTCTTTGACAGGTTGTCAAGTGCATTAAAATACATTTGCGCCTGATAATAGCTAATTTAACAATGTTCTAGTGAGTAACATCAAAGTCGGTCCAGGAAACCAAATATTAAATATTTAACCATGCTATTAAACAGTAACCCGTTACATGACCATAAAACTAGTAATTCCTCAGTAAATTGACTTTTTCCGGTGATACAACATAGAGAATTGTCTATCGGATACTTTTGAGGTTATTATATTGCTCTTAATGCTCCATCACTGTGAGCTGTGCATTTTAACTGTGAGCTTGCCCTTATGAACTGAGGCCGGATAGATTAGCCATCATATTTTTCCCCTGTGATTGGTTTTAATGAGCAAAGTCTGTGTGCAACTGGGGTTAAACGATAATTGGTTATTATTATCGCTTATCTGCATGCCAGTTACGTTTGTTCCACAAAGGCAAATACTGTCATTTTATATGCATGCAAAGCACTTTTTATGCTGTGTAAAGAGCATATTAGCTTCCCAGCTGCATATTCGCTATATACAGAAATTCTATATTTCTAATGTGTTACAATTATACTAAAACATTAAGGCTAAAACATTACAGGCTGTTAACTGCTCCTATGCGGACAGAAAAAGATCTTCATGACTAATAGTTTAGTGCACGTTGTTTTATCTGCTGTATCCAGGAAAGTGGAAATCTGCTCCACATGAAGACTGTCCTGCGTGTAGAGCTATTGGGAGAGTTCAATGAAAAAAAAAGACAGCCATCCTGCAACAATATTGCCTTTGTTTGGAAAAGGCCCTTCAAGGGTGCTGCAAAACGATCTATCTGGCCTTTAAGCTTAATTACATTTGGGAGTAAAATTTAGTTGTATAAAACAGTGCAGCAGAAACATAAATGTAACATAATATAAGCAAAGAAACTGAGTATAAACTTTTGAATTAGTCACATAGACTGTTGTCAGAGATTTGTTTTGGGTGTAGGAATGACAAATAACGTATTTCTTACCTAAATATGATAATATTTTTTACTGATTTCACTGACTTTTTTAAATATATATCTCTGAAGCATATGATTGTATTCTTGAAAACAATCTTTTATTGTATTATTGAATAAGATATTAGTTAATTATCAAAGAAAGAAAAAATTAATAGCCATAATATGGACCACTGTATAAGTGATTTCCTTCTAACATTGCTGATTTCACCATTAACTGTTCACCTGAACAGTTTATGTTGTTGTATGTGGTATCTTTGTAATCCTTGACCACCAAAACATAGGGGTAGACATTACCTTTTCTGTGTTATCATGTTTGGTTCAGGAGATATGACACAACATAGATCATCAGTAAAATGGTTGCCATGGCTACCACAATGTTTTTTTTGTGATGGCTCCATTTATGAAAATTTTCAGGGCCACAAACTGAAATCGTATTTTCTTATTGGTTTTTTAAACTTTGTATGTTATTCTTTTTACTGTTTTTTTATTTTATATGTACAGCACTATGGTCAACTGCTGTTGTGTTTATCGGTGCTTAATAAATACAAATACCTGAGGGAAGATGTCTTTCACTATTGTAAGTTAATGTTGTTAAATAGAGAAACAAAATTATAAATTTTTTAAATGTCTATAACTTCTAGCGCATTATAAGAAGAGCAGGAAGAAGCCCTTTCAGTTGTGAGTGATATTTAATTTTATTTGCTGGGCTGTTGCTGATTTGTAAGATTATTACTCGATAATATTGTTTAATTTTTTGCCTCCTATGGGATTATGATGTGGGCATCACCAAGGTGTCCGTAGAGGGTTGCTAGGAGTTTAAAACTAAATTGAAATCTTATTTTCTTATTAGCTTTTTAAACTTTGTATGTAAAATTATCTTTTGCGTTTACTGATGTTATTCTTTTTACTGGTTTTTATTTTATTTGTACAGCAGTATGGCCAACTGCTGTTGAGTTTATCGGTGCTTAATAAATACAAATACCATTATTATCCACAGATATCTTTGTAAGTTAATGTTGTTAAATGGAGAAACAAAATTATACATTTTTAAAATGTCTATAACTTCTAGCGCATTATAAGAAGAGCAGGAAGAAGCCCTTTCAGTTGTGAGTGATATTTAATTTTATTTGCTGGGCTGTTGCTGATTTGTAAGATTATTACTCGATAATATTGTTTAATTTTTTGCCTCCTATGGGATTATGACGTGGGCATCAGGGGTGATTCTAGGATTTTCATTTTAGGGGGGCTCAGCCCCCAATTAGAGTATAAAAATAAAAATAAATAAATTAAATTAAATTTTTTAAATATTTGACGAATTGAGTAGGGTGGTATACTAAACTAATTGCAGTATTCCATTGTACTGCATAGATGGGTATAATAGCATTTGAGTAATGAATAAGCCAAATACAAGTCTTCCTAATCTCTCTCACACACACACACACACACACGCACACGCACACGCACACACACACACACACACACCTGTTTACTCTGCAAACACAAAATTATACTGTTTTAATTTCTACAAAGCTCTTTCTTTAGCTCAAGCATACGCTCAAGTACTGTACTGTCACTGTCTTTAATCAGTTCTGTGCATTACTGTAAGGTTAATGCAACATGCACTGTAGTTTAATATTGAAAGTTACATTTTCAAATGAAAATAGCAACATGATCGTTTTATAAAGTATGTGTTCATATGTGTTAAGGGCTAGATTTTCGCTGGAGGAAACAGCTGTGGTGTGATAAGGGGTGAACGCAGCGAAAACTTTACAGTAGATGGAAAACCAATTGCTCCCCCGTGACATTTTGTAAACTGTATTTATGACAAAGAACTGCACAGATACAGATGTTATAACAATCTATCGATAAACACACATCTTGTCCTCTGTTTCTCGCTCTGCATCGCTATGGTCTGCGGATTGAAGAACGTGCTGAAAGACGGAGAGGAGCCGAAGTCTGCCGCCGTTTTCATATGAAATTTAAAGGGAACTGAGGTGATCAAGAATTCGTGTACAGTTTATGGAGCTAATTGCAAAATTTTTAGGGGGGCTGAGTAGAAATATAGGGTGGCTAAAGCCCCCTAAAGTGTTGGTATGGGGGCCCTCAAAGCTGCGTTAGCCCAGGGCCCCGGCACTGGCTACACCTACATCCTACATCATCCACTGGAACGCCACTCTCTTGTAAACGCGCATACGACAATTAGCGGAAGCTAGAGATTACAGTTTATAATCCTTATCCTTAAGTTAAATAAGGATATTTTTCTTACACAAATGCATCAGTTCACTTCAGAAAGCCTTTATTAACCCCCCAGAGCCATGTGAAATACTTTTTATGATGTATGGATACATAGATTTTCGCTGGAGGAAACAGCTGTGGTGTGATAAGGGGTGAACGCAGCGAAAACTTTACAGTAGATGGAAAACCAATTGGCGCATACGACAATTAGCGGAAGCTAGAGATTACAGTTTATAATCCTTATCCTTAAGTTAAATAAGGATATTTTTCTTACACAAATGCATCAGTTCACTTCAGAAAGCCTTTATTAACCCCCCAGAGCCATGTGAAATACTTTTTATGATGTATGGATACGGATTTTTGGACTTTAAAATCTTAAACCCCATTCACTGCGATTGGAAATCTTAGAAAAGCCAGGACATTTTTTTATATAAATCCAATCCAATTGTATTTGTCTGAAAGAAGAAAGTCATATACACCTAAGGCTTGAGGGTGAGTAAACTGGGGTAATTTAAATTTTTTGGGTGAGCTATCCCTTTAAAGGCTCCCTGAAGTGCCTTGAAACATGCAGCGTTATTCTATGTGGTGACTTAATTTCAGCTGAAACAGGAAGACAGCAGGACGGGCCATATCGAGCAGCCACGCCCCCTTTTAAAAATAGCCAATAGCATTTTGTTTATATCTGCTTGGGCCAGAGCCGTTGAGCTCGGTAAAGCCGCATTTGACAGCCACAGTCTAATAGATTACCCCCTAGATTCAATATGAAACTCTTACAAAAACAAAATAGTGTTCAACTGAAACAGGAAGAGAGGGCGGGACATAGAGCAGCCACGCCCCCTTTTAAAAATAGCCAATAGCATTTTGTTTATATCTGCTTGGGCCGGAGCCGTTGAGCTCGGTAAAGCCGCATTTGACAGCCACAGTCTAATAGATTACCCCCTAGATTCAATATGAAACTCTTACAAAAACAAAATA